GGTGCTGAGGATCAAACCCAGGGCCTCACGAGTGATCTACCGCTGAGCCACAACCCCGGCCCAAGCCCTTTCTCTTTTTATGTTGCGCACCTAGTTGTCATCCAGAGTGGCCTGGAAACAAAGCTGGCTGAAATAGTTCTCAGCTTCCCTTCTCACCATTAAAAGGTAGGGTGGTGGACTGAAAAGTTTGAGTTTGTCGGGACACTAGATCAGTGCACTCCCAGGGTGGGGCTGATGCAGAGTTCTAAATGGGAAGTTCCAGCAGCTAGCTAGGGTTTAGCTCTGATCTGAACCTTATCCTGTGGTATCTGCTTCGGAGAGATTAGATTAACATATCCTAGGGCCAGGCAAATGCCAGGCTTTGCTGGGCATCTGGATGTTCATGTCCTCCTAAGAATTCTACTTGTAGGGCAGAATAACCAACCTTGCACAGGTCTTGCACACTTCCCAGGCTCAGTTCCAGAGTGCAGTTGCACCCACCTTTGCAATTTATAGACCTCCTTCAGATGATCTTGTGAGCTGTTAGGCTCAAAGGGAAAACAAGCCTCATTCCCCTTGCTAGCCCTAAACCTGAATTTTCAATCACATTCCACTAAGAACATCCTAGGCCTGTTGGTTGGTATGCACTTGCTGAGACAGGATGGCAGTATTTTGTATGATCTCCTGGGCTCCTGTAGCTGCAGGCTACAACCTGGCCTCTTCAAGATAGTTCCCAGCCTCAGCTCTTCACTTGCTAGTTGAGAAATTGGAGCACTTTTCAAATACCATCTCACTATACAGCCTCTGATTCAGCTAAGTTTAGACTGCTTTTTCTGTTCTATAGGTTTTCCCATGCCATATTAGCCTGCTGTTTCTCTCTCTCTGTTTGTATCTCACCTTCATTCTGCAGTGAACTGGCACCACTTCTGCCGCTGGCTTAGCTCAGCCTTTCTCTAATCTGCAATCTTTGATCTCCTAAAAGGCAATTTCATGATAATCATTTTCTGCTTTTTTAAAAATAATGACAGTATATATTCTCAGTGCACTTTTGTTTTTTCCCCACTCCCCTTCCACCCCCACTACAGTTTGACCTGTGGAATCTCTATTATAAGTTTGATCAGATTCAGACTTAGTGTTTTTGATAAGACTTTGTAGATTATGGGCTCTTGTTTCATCAAGAATTATAAAGTCTTGTTTTTTTTTTTTTCTTTTAGTGATGTTAGTGACTATTGATATTCAGCAGTTAAATCAGTTCACTGCAGATTCAGAAAGTAATGATTCTCCATTTTTATTATTTCTTATTCACGTATTGTTAAAATGTTATCCTCTATAGAGAATCTTTCCCTTCTCTAATGTGTGGTTATCTACTGGTTCAGTTTATATATGGAAGAATACATAGCTAGGCACACTGTGGTCCATGCCTGCATTCGTAGCTACTCTGGGAGCCGAGGTAGAAGAATCACATATTACAGGTCAGCCTGGGAAGTTTAGCAAGAACCTTTCTCAAGACAAAATTTTAAAAAGGTCTGGGGAAGTTGAGTACTGTGATGTGTTCCTGTAATCTTAGTGACTCTGGAGGTTTAAATGGGGGTTGCAAGTTTGAGGTTAGACTCAGCAATTTAGGCCCTGTCTCAAAGTAAAAAGGCCTGGGGTTGTAGCTCAGTGTTAAGAATCAGAAGATTCACTCTCCAGTACCAAAAAAAAAAAAAAAAAGGTTTAGGAATATGGTTTAGTGATAGACCTCTTGTCTATCCCAGGATTTAATCCTTGGTACAGCAAGAAAACTAAAAATAAATGTTTATTTCTCATTTTTTACCAGTTTGGGAAATGATGGGGTTTTTACTACATCTTTCAAAGTAAGCCATTTTTTTTTCTTTATAAGTATCTTCAGGAACCCATGATTACATTTCTTTCTATTCATTCCAGTTATCCTTACTGATGTTCAAATTGTCCCATCTTAAAAAATAAATACATAAATAAAAACTAAATTGTTCCTTATTTTCTTTGGCCAACAGGAATCTCTTCATGTTAGATCCCTGTCCTGTGGTGTTTGTATTTGTATGTGTGTGCGTGTGTATATGTAGCTTTTAAAGCACATATACTAAACATGTTCCATATATGTATACTTTTTCCCATGTTGAGAATTGATCCCAGTGCCTCACTTATGCTAAGCAAGTGCTCTACCATTGAGCTAAACCTCAACCCTGGTTTTTATATTCAGTATATATTTAAGATAATTCCACATTAAACTATATGCTTTATTTTATATAGCCACATAATGGTCTCTTATATAGCCATACAATAGCTTATTTAACAGATCCTGGCTGATGAACATTTTAATTTTTTTTGAGTGGGGAGTATCAGGGATTGCAGTCAGGAGCATTTGGTCACTAAGCCACATCTTCAGCCCTATTTTGCATTTTATTTAGAGACAGGGTCTCACTGAGTTGCTTAGCACCTCACAGTTGCTGAGGCTGGCATTGAAATTGGCTTCTGTCGCAGTCCGGCTGGGCAAAATAACTGGGAGGTGACAAGCAACTTGAAGGTTGAAGCGGGAACTCCTTTATTGCGAGGGAACTCAGCGGGAACTGAAGGTAGCGGGCACCCAAGGTAGCAGTAGCCACTTTATTGCGGGACAGCAGAGGTATATATACCTAACTGATTACACACAGCTTGACTCAATTAGCATCATCTAGATACAGCAGTCAGCCAATAAGGAATCCCCACCATCTTAATGGCTCGGTGACGTTGCTTCACAAACTACTCCTCCTGGCAAACTGCCAGGCGCCATCTTGACTTGATTTGCAGTCCCCAACAGGCTTCCTCCTGCCTCAGCCTCCTGAACCGCTGTGATTACATTAATGAGCATTTTGATTGTTACCCTGCAGTATTGTAAACAGTACTGCAATGTATCTCTTGATATGTACTACTTTGCCAACACATGGAAGGATAGCTGCAGGATCAATTCCCAGAAATGGAATGGCTGAGTAATAGTTATTGCCAAATTATCCTCAAAAAGCAATGAAAAACTACTTTAAAAAAAAATTCCTTCTTATCCTCTGATAATACTCGTATGCTGGATTCAAAAAAAAAGAAAACAAACCTTGTTGTAGTCTTTGTGTTTCCTTAATTGGCTCAATTTTATATTGAATTCTTAAATCTTTTCCATATTGATTTGTGAGCAGTAGATATAAAGAAATTATCCTTTGGTGATTATGGGTACACATATTTATTCCTAATCATGTTTCTTCTTTTGATTACATTTGTGTTATTTACTTTCTAGAAGTTAAATTTTCTATGTTACTGAAATTGGCTAGGCTTTAAAAAAATCGAACTTAGAGAAGAAGAGTTAGAGGTACAACAGTTTTTACTTTGGAGCCATTTAAGAGTTGTCGACATATTTCCTTGTCACATTCCAGTGCTTTAGTGTATATTTTCTACAACAAGGATATTCTCTCAAATTACCACATAGAACTACTAAAATCAGTATGTAAAAATTGATTCATTACTATCGTCTAAACTTTAGACTTTAGGTTCACTAATTGATGCAATAGATTTAAGACTTTTCAGTCTTAAATCTGCTTTATCTCTTCAATCTTCAATTCCAAACAGCCTTTAATCTGGAGCAGTTTCTCAAACTTTTCCTGATTTTCATGACTTTGACAGTTTGACAACTGTAGATCATTTGTGTTATAGAACACATTAAAACAACTTTGCTCGATGTTTCTTTATAATTCACCTCAGGTTATGATCTTTGTTAGAAACATCATAGAAGTGCTATGATTTTTTTTTCCAGTTTGTCCTATTGATGTTTACTGAGCATTTGCTTAAAACATTGTCTGGTTGACATCACTACTATGGAATTATTATTTTTACCCTTTCTACTTAAGTATTTTGTGGGAATGTAGTTTTATCTTATGCATTCTCAGACTTTTAGCATATTTATTTTGTCAATGTCAATACAGGTTTGTGAGTTGATATCCATTCTGTGGGTTATCCTTTTACTTTTATTATTAATCTTTACCCTTCAACATACTTTTGCCAAGTGGAGCCTTTTCAGGTTGGCTTTTATGACCTTTTAACATGTCCTTATCATTTTTTGAGCACATTTTAGTTTTTTTGCCACAGATATTCCAGACTCATTTTGTCCATTTCTGCCCAACTCTGAAATCAGCCATTTTTCTAAGGAGTCTTTATTCCTTTTATAGAAAATAATATTCAGAAGCCAAGATTCAGTTGTTAGTTATGCTCATTGCTTTTGGAAGATCAGTGCTCTCAGGCTCTTTTAGTGAATAGAGCTAGGAAATATAAGTATACCTATGTCCACACACATAGGAACATTTACATCTGTGTGATTGTGCTTGGAAACCATAAGTTCACACTTGATATCTCCTATTCAAAGGGTTTATTCTTGCTTTCTTTTTATATTTACAACTATCTTCTCTGACAGTGAGGTTTTCTCTGACAGTGAGGTTATCTGGCTTCCATTATCCTATTGACTTATTTGATACATCATACATCTCTGCCACCCCCTCTCCTGTGTAATTCCCTCCTCTGTCTTCTCTGACTCCCCATTCCAGGCCACTCCTCCTCCCCCATGAAGACTTATTTCCTACCCCTCTTAAGTTCCAGCCCACATACCAGACTATGATGCTCTGGGTGGACATCCTTTTTACCCTACTAGCATCAGAAACTAGAGACTGAACTGACCCTCCTCATTGATACTTTCTTCACTCTACTTTGATTATGGTGCCCTTTGCCAATCTGTCCACCTTATCTCACCTCCCCATTTAGGCTCTAACCATGTAATACCTGTTCCCTTCTCTCTCCTTTAATCAAGCAGTTATCCTTATCCTATATTTGTTTTCCTTTTTAATGTCCTCTGAGTTTTATAGAACTTTAACTTCTCCTTTGGATTGTTATCTAGTTGGCTGGAATTTTATGTAAAATTTGTATCTCTTCCTCTGTCCTTCCAAATTTGAAATCTTAAAAAATTTTCTTATTGCTTTTGTTTATAACAGATGATGATGTACCTGCAGATATGGTTGCAGAAGAATCAGGTCCTGGTGCACAGAATAGCCCATACCAACTTCGTAGAAAAACTCTTTTGCCGAAAAGAACAGCGTGTCCTACAAAGAGCAGTATGGAGGTATGTTAATTATAATTTTCTTTTGTTTTTGTAATGAAATGCTTTTTAGGAAACAAAGGGAACGTCATCTATTTTAGAAGTAATAAATATGTATGGGAGAAACATTTTTTTATTTTATTTTATTTATTTATTTATTTTGAAGGGTGCCTCAACTTCAGCTACAGAAAACTTTGGTCATCGAGCAAAACGTGCAAGAGTATCTGGAAAGTCACAAGATCTATCAGGTATTTCCCATGGGGAAACTAAGGCATAGGGTAAAATAATTTTTAAAACCTTTTTTGCTTCAAGCCAGGCAAAGCCGTGCACACCTATCATCTCAGTGACTCAGGAGGCTGAAACAGGAGGATCACAAGTTCAAAGCCAGCCTCAGCAATTTAGCAAGACTTTGTCTCAAAATATTAAAAAAAAAAAAAAAAAAAAAAAGGGCTAGGGGACTGGGGTTGTAGCTCAGAAGTAGAGTGCCTGGCATACGTGAGGCACTGGGTTTGATCCTCAGCACCACATAAAAATAAAATAAAGGTGTTGTGTCCACCTACAACTAAAAAATAAATATTTTAAAAAGTTGGGTGGGGCTGGAGCTCAGTGGTCAAACACCCCTGGGTTCAATTCCTGGTAACAAAAAAAAAAAAAAAAAAAAAAATTTTTTTTTTTTGCTTCATTCCAAAAAATGGAAATATATATTTGTTATTACATTTTAGAGTATTAAATAACATTTGAATGCTTACCTCTATATCTTGAGCTTTTATCCTTCTTAAAAATTCTTCATAGGGGCTGGGGATGTGGCTCAAGCGGTAGTGCACTCGCCTGGCATGCGTGCAGCCGGGGTTCGATCCTCAACACCACATACAAAGATGTTGTGTCCTCCGGGGGGAAAAAAAAAAAAATTCTTCATATATTTATTCTAACTAATTTCTTAGATGGCACATTAAATATACTTAAACTAATACTTGTTAAGTAGAGATAAATGTCTTATCTCTGAAGTAAAATGACCATTAGCAAAAGCAAGTTATTCATTCTATAAAATGAAAATTGTATTCTTTAATGAGAAAGGCATTGTTAGCATGATAGATTGTTTTATATTGTTTGTTCTTTTTTTTTTTTTTAGCAGCACCTGCTGAACAGTATCTTCAGGAGAAACTGCCAGATGAAGTAGTACTAAAAATCTTCTCTTATTTGCTGGAACAGGATCTTTGTAGAGCAGCTTGTGTATGTAAACGCTTCAGTGAACTTGCTAATGATCCAATTTTGTGGTAAGTGGAAAACTTATTCCTTATCTTGATGTATTATTTGCTGCTTCAAATGCTAAACATTGTAGGAAAGTATGAGTTGGTAATTACAATTAAGTAGTCAGAACAGAATTATGAAGTCCAAGTTACCTGTTTATCATAAATGTGGATTGTCGATCCAAGCAGTATTTATGATACAGTAAATGAAATACTTTCTCTGCTGTTTTTCAAGTAATAGCAATTGAAAGATCAAGGGAAGTGTTTTTCATTTAATTGCTTTGTAGAAACACAGCTAAGTGTAATTTAAAATAGTTAATGAGAGTTAAATCTGATAGTTTAATGAAAGTGTGTATTTTGTCCATCACTTTTGAAACAATATTTTTTCCATGAAACTTAAAATGTTCATTCCCTTTTTTCATTCCTCAGAAATTATTCTGACGATTTTTTATATTTATGAAGTATTTTATTAAATTTTTATAACAGCATAGATAATAATAAGGAAAAATGTCTGCTAATTGTGATTTTTTTTTTTTTTTTGATACCAGCGATGAACCCAAAGCTGCTCAACCATTGAGCCACATTCCCAGCCCTTTTTAAAAAAAAAAAAAAATATTTTTTCTTTTTTATTTGTAGTTGGACACAATACCTTTATTTATTTATTTTTATGTGCTGCTGAGGATCAAACACAGCACTTCCCATGTGCTAAGAGAGTGCTCTAACACTAAGCCACAACCCCATCCCCAGCCCTTTTTTATATTTTATTTAGAGACAGGATCTCACTGAGTTGCTTAGGGCCTTGCAAATTTGCTGAGGCTGGCTTTGAACTCATAATCCTCCTTCCTCAGCCTCCTGAGCTGCTGGGATTACAGGCGTGTGCCCCTGAGCCCGGCCTAATTGTGATCTTTACAAAAAATTGTTTTCTGCTTTTGGGAAGTGTGGGGTATGGTTTATGGCAAGCACTCTACCCCTGAACTATACCCAGCCCTACGTAAGTTTATTTAATTTATTTTTTTTAATTTGTTTTTGGAGTTGTTGTGGTACTAAAAATCTTCTCTTATTTGCTGGAACAGGATCTTTGTAGAGCAGCTTTTATATGTGGACAGCCTTTATTTTTATTTGTTTATTTTTATGTGGTGCTGAGGATCGAACCCAGAGCTTCACACATGCTAGGCAAGCACTCTACCACTGAGCCACAACCCCAGCCCACTATATAAGTTTTTAATAAGATGCAAAAAAATGCTATGTTATATATAAGTGAAAAGAACAGAATATATAATATTCTGTTTAATTACAACTGTAATAAATGAAATATCTGTAGATAAAAAATACTGGAGGAGAATATACTAAGCTGTGCTTGTATTGAAAAGGTGTATTTACATTAGAAATGAAAATTGAAAATGAAAAGTAGAAGAAAAAGCACTTTGCATTGTATAAGAAATTAAAAGTTATTATTCAGTTCTAAGATCTTATGGTACTTAATAGGATGTAAATAGACTGAAGATATAGGCAGAATTAAGTGTTTTATTGAAAGTTATCTTTTAAAATAAAGTGGCATGAAACATTTATAGTAGGTGTGGCCTATTCCCCCCTCCCCCTCCCCAGTGAACAATTTTTGAAGAAATTGACGCTTGTTTTCTTTGGGTAGGCTAATTTTCATATATAGTTATATTGTTCTAGCCAAAAACTATTTTCACATTTAAAATTCTGTATGTTGCCTGTGTGGTGGCACATGTTTAACAGCGCTAGCTGCTGGAGAGGCTTAAGGTGGTAGGATTGTTGGATACCAACCTTGACAACGAAAGTGAGACCCTGGCTCAAAAAAGTGAAATAAAGTTCTGTATTTTTACATTAATTTTTGTCTGTTATTTTCATTTTTTTAATTTATATGAGACAGCGGAATGCATTACAATTCTTATTACATACATAAAGCACAATTTTTCTTATCTCTGGTTGTATACATAGTATATTAACACCAATTTGTGTCTTCATACCTGTACTTTGGATAATAATGATCATCACATTCCACCATCATTAATTACCCCATACCTGCTTCCTTCCCCTCCAACCCCTCTGCCCTATCTAGAGTTTGTCTATTCCTCCTATGCTCCCTCTCCTTATCCCACTATGAATCAGCCTCCTTATATCAAAGAAAACATTCAGCATCTGGTTTTTTGGGATTGGCTAACTTTACTTAGCATTAACTTCTCTAACTCCATTCATTTACCTGCAAATGCCATGATTTTATTCTCTTTTATTGCTGAGTAATATTCCGTTGTGCATATATGCCACTTTTTTTTTTTAATCCATTCATCTATTGAAGGGCATCTAGGTTGGCTCCACAGTTTAGCTATTGTGAATTGTGCTGCTATAAACATTGATGTGGCTGTGTCCCTGTAGTATTGTTTTTAAGTCCTTTGGGTATAGATCGAGGAGAGGGATAGCTGGGTCAAATGGTGGTTCCATTCTCAGTTTTCCAAAAATCTCCATACTATTTTCCATATTGGCTGCACCAGTTTGCAGTCCCACCAGCAGTGTATGAGTATACCATTTCCCCCACATCCTCGCCAACACTTATTGTATGCATAATAGTTGACATTCTGACTAGAGTGAGATGAAATCTTAGAGTGGTTTTGATTTGCCTTTTTCTAATTACTTGTGATGATGAACATGTATTTGTTGATTGATTGTACATCATCTTCTGAGAAGGGTCTCTTCAGGTCCTTGGCCCATTTATTGATTGGCTTATTTGTTTTTTTGGTGTCTAGTTTTTGAGTTCTTTATATACCCTAGTGAGAGTGCTCTATCTGATATGTGAGGGGTAAAGATTTGCTCCTAAGATGTAGGCTCTCTGTTCACCTCACAGATTGTTTCTTTTGCTGAGAAGAAACTTTTTAGTTTGAGTCCATCACATTTATTGATTCTTGATTTCAATTCTTGTGCCACAGGAGTCTTATTAAGGAAGTTGGGACCTAGTTTTTGAGGCCTCAGATATTTGTTTAAAGTTTTATTTACTCTAAAGGATATTTTATAATGAGATCTTTAATTCCCTTTAGGAAACGATTATACATGGAAGTATTTGAATATACCCGTCCTATGATGCATCCTGAACCTGGTAAATTCTACCAGATTAATCCAGAAGAGTATGAGCATCCAAATCCTTGGAAAGAGAGTTTCCAGCAGTTGGTATGAAATATAAGCAAAAAATATTAATTTACATTATGCATATGTAAATAAAAGTTTCTTTAAAAAATAAATTTAAAGTCAAGAATAGGTTTTGAAGATCAGCCACTGACCTTTTATCAACCATCAAAATATTTAACAATTCTTTCTTCTACTGATATGTTTATTAATAATTTATCTAGTGGTAATAAGCATCAATAGTGAGAGAACACTTAATGATTTCAGGTGGTGTGTTTGAACTCATATTTAAATAGTTTTCAGTAGCCGTTTTAAACTTCCACATTTAGTTTATTCCACTTTATGTGGTCCCCCTACTCCCCTTTTTGGCACTAGGCATTGAATCCATGGGTGTTCTGCTGCTGAGTTACATCCCCATCCTTTTCATTTATTTTAGTTTTTTGAGACAGGATCTAAGTTGCTGAGGCTGGCTTCAAACAATAGATCTCCTGCCTCAACTTCCCGAAATGTTGGGATCACAGCTGTACACACAAACTTATTATGGTCCTTTATAATGGCTTTCAGTTGGGAGTGATTTGGTCTCTTAAAGGCCAGGAAACATTTGGCAATGTCTTTACACTTGAGAAATTGAAAGAAGATGGTGCTAGAGGTATCAAATTGGGTAGAGAGCAATGATGCTTCTAAATATCCGCCAATGAATAAGGCAGCCTCCACAACAAAGAATCATTTGGCCCCAAATAATAGTAGTGGTGAGATTGAAAAACTTTGCCTTTCTTACTAAATATTACTGAGTCATAACTTATTATAGATTTTATTTTGTACTATATGACAGAAAATTAGTTTGAGTAGTTGGGATTTTTTATATTTAAAAGTTATACTGTGAAGCAGGGGCTATATATAGCTCAGTTGGTAGAGTACTTGCCTTGTAAGCACAAGGCCTTGGATTCAATCCCCTTGGCGGGGGAGTCATACTGTGGTACATTTAGAATATAATATTTATATTAGTAGTCAATATTTGGTTTTGCTTTGTTTTTGACATTTCAGTATAAAGGTGCACATGTAAAGCCAGGATTTGCTGAACATTTCTACAGTAATCCTGCAAGATATAAAGGAAGAGAAAATATGTTGGTATGTTTTTTTTTTTTTTTTTAATTTTTTATTGTTGGCTGTTCAAAACATTACATAGTTCTTGATATATCATATTTCACACTTTGATTCAAGTGGGTTATGAGCTCCCATTTTTACCCCATATACAGATTGCAGAATCACATCAGTTACACATCCATTGATTTACATATTGCCATGTCTGTTGTGTTCTGCTGCCTTTCCTATCCTCTACTATCCCCCCTCCCCTCCCCTCCCCTCTCTCTGCCCCCTCTACTGACATTCATTTGTCCCCCTTGTATTATTTTTCCCCTTCCCCTCACTTCCTTTTGTATGTACTTTTGTATAACTCTGAGGGTCTCCTTCTGTTGGTATGTTTGATTTGTTTTTTTATGAATTTAAAATAATAATCTTTCAGTTCTATACTGACGCTTTTATCCTTTTTTTAGTATTATGATACTATTGAAGATGCCCTTGGTGGGGTACAAGAAGCTCATTTTGATGGACTTATCTTTGTTCATTCTGGAATATATACTGATGAATGGATATATATTGAATCTCCAATCACCATGATTGGTGCAGGTATTTTGAAATACATTGTTATTAGAATTTTAACATTTTATTCGTATTATTAAATTTCTAGATGGGTTTTTTTAAATGATAGTAACTTAAAAGCTGGTTGAGCTTTGTTTAATACCTTAATAGTAGGAGAGAATAGGAATGAAGATATCTCATACTTTGTGGAGAAAATGAAAATATGAGAGTTCACAAATTATAAATGTATGTATTTCTTGATGTTAGCCCTTTCTCCAGTTGCCTTTCCTCATTAAAGAAAGAAAAAAGTTTGTTAGCTCTATATTTATTGTAAAAATAAAGATGGAGGAAAAAATACAAAAATAAAAATAAAGACATTAATGTTTTTAATGCTATATTTTAAAGGAATTGAAATGTAATTTTTAAATACATCGTATACTGTTTCAAAGATACATTATGGTCAAATTTGTAAGAATAAATACAGTGAAATATTTGTTGAACACTGATGAGTGATTGGAAGGATTGTGTTGTCTCTGAGTTTTTGGGGATACAGTACATAGATGAATTTAAGATGCCAAGCAATTATTATTTGCTAATGAAATTTGCATTTACTGCCTTTCTACTTCCCTCCCCTTTCTCCATTATAGAGGAGGAAAGGGCTGGGTGTGTGCTCAGTATAGAGCACTTACCTAGCATGTGAGCCCCTGGGTTCAATCCCTAGCACCAAAAAATTAAAAAATAATTTTAAAAACTGGGGGAGAGTATAGAAGACTTTTGCATGCTGATTTTATTACTTTCCAAGTTGAGGGTACTGTTGCAACAAATTTAAAGAGGTCTCTTCTCTTTGTCTCTTCTCTGCCTGAGCTGGTTTTTCCTAGTGTACATGGATTTGAGGATAATGGTAAAATAATATCTTCTTTAAATATCATAAAGGCTGATAGTTACATAATAAAGTGAGTATTAGTCCTACTGCTTAATACTGGTGTTTTTAAAAAATATTTATTTTTTTTTTTAGTTGTAGTTGGACACAATACCTTTATTTATTTTTATGTGGTGCTGAGGATTGAACCCAGGGCCCCAAAGCGCTAGGCGAGCGTTCCACCGCTGAGCCACAACCCCAGCCCCAATACTGAAGTTCCCTCTCCATAAAAGTACCTAGTTGAAATGGAATAAAGTAATATGCCTTAAAATATCTTCTCCACAGCACCTGGGAAAGTAGCAGACAAAGTTATTATTGAAAACACTAGAGATTCAACCTTTGTTTTTATGGAAGGTTCTGAAGATGCTTATGTTGGATATATGACAATAAGGGTAAGAAATTTTTAAGATTTAAAAAATAAATGTTGAAATCATTAAAGCAATGATGGTTTATTTCAAATGAAATTTCTACTTTTCCAGTTTAATCCTGATGACAAATCTGCTCAGCACCACAATGCACACCACTGCTTAGAGATTACAGTAAATTGTAGCCCTATTATTGATCACTGTATCATCCGAAGTACATGTACAGGTTAGTGTTTCCTTTATCTTTTACAGTAAAATTGAATCACTGTGTTGCCCAGGTTATTTTTAATAAATACTTTTTTCTTATAGTTGGTTCTGCAGTATGTGTTAGTGGTCAAGGAGCATGTCCCACTATCAAGCACTGTAACATCAGTGACTGTGAAAATGTTGGACTTTATATAACAGATCATGCACAGGTATTTTTAAGTTTTTTTTTTTTTTCTTTCTTAATTTCTTTAAAGCTATCCTAATGTTTGTTTCTGATTAAATGTTACAGGGAATATATGAAGATAATGAAATTTCCAATAATGCTTTAGCTGGAATTTGGGTTAAAAATCATGGAAACCCAATTATTAGGCGGAATCATATTCATCATGGACGTGACGTTGGTGTGTTCACATTTGATCATGGCATGGTAAGACCATTTATTCTTAAATAAGTTTCAACATTATTTTTCACCATCAGATTGTCTGAATTGAAGCAATTCAGCATTATATTTAAAATCAACATGTAATATTTATTCTATAATGTCAGACATTACATCCAGATAAGCATAGTGATGAGAAAAGAGTCCTTATGGAATTGATGTGATCTTTAAGGAGAGTCTAATCTAATAGTGTTGATTCTCAAATGTAATTGTACATAAAAATCACCCAGAGAGAATGAGCCAGGCACGACGGCATACACCTATAATCCCAACAGCCCAGGAGGCTAAGGCAGGAGGATCACAAGTTCAAAGCCAGCCTTAGCAACTTAGTGCCATCCTCCCTGTAAATAAAATATTTAAAAGGATGGGGATGTGGCTCATTGGTTAAGTGCCCCTGGGTTCAGTCCATGGTATGAAAAAAAAAAGTAGTAGAGAAATGGTATAATGTATCTCCATGTATTCATCAACAACTCATGGCCAGTTTTGTCTACCTCCCTATTCACTTTTTATTCCCTTCCTTATACTTTGCATTATTTTCAATCAAATATAGCATCATGTCATCACTAAATATTTTAGCATGTTTCTTGTAAAAAATGACAATTTTAGCTAGGCACAGTGATACATGTGTCTAATCCTAGCACTCTGGAGGTAGGAGTTTTTGCAAATTGGAGGCCACCTTCAGCAACTTAGTGAGATCCTATCTCAGTAATAATAATAAAATTTTAAAAGAAAAATTGCTGAGGATGTAGTTCAATGGTAAAGCACCCCTGGGGTCAAACCTCAGTATAAAAAAATAATAATTCTAAGCCAGGTGCAGTGGCACATGCCTATATAATTCCAGAAACTTTGGGAAGCTGAGGCAGGAAAGTCACAAGTTCAAGGCCAGCCTCAGCAATTTAGCAATACCCTCCTTAGCTAAACCCTGTCTCAAAATAAAAAACAAAAAAGACTGGAAATGCAGCTCAGTGGTCAAGTGCCTCTGGATTAAATTCCCAGTACCAATAAAAGGGGAAGTTCTAGGAGGGTAAAGTTATAGCCCAGGACAGCATGTGTGAGGTTCCGAGTTTCAATACCTAGCACCAAATAAAGGGAGGAGATTTCACATAACACAATATCAGTAAAAGTAATTAGGAATGATTGCTTGGTATAATCAAATTTTCTTTTCAGTATTCAGTTACCCACTTATGTTTGTTTAATATTTAGTCCATTGCAGTGTTACTTTTGTAAAATGATTAAAATATCATAACAGTTTCAGATTGCTACATCCCTACCCAACACTTTTAAGGCAACCAGAGTTTATTTTCTTTCACGTCTTCAGCCTTTTGTTGAAGGACACAACGCACACGCACACAAACAAACACACTCTTTGTCTCTCTCTCTCTCATACATATATGTATTAGATAATGGTATTTAATTGCACTTTATAATAGATCTTTCCTTGTTTTTTTTTCCTGTCTTTGAATGCATTTATAATAAGTAGAAGTTCATAGTTGTTTACTAAAACATTTAAATCTGTTTCTTTACATATTTATCATTTGAAGGTTAGTGTTTATTTTTCATCCTTATACTTGAACATTTTTGATGCTTAATTTTGAGGTGTGCATTTAGAATTTTTTAAATTTTTTTTCTTTTTGGAAAATAGCATTTACCATCGCATTTAATTTCTGTATTTTTTCAGGGTTACTTTGAAAGTTGCAACATACACAGAAACAGGATAGCAGGCTTTGAAGTAAAAGCCTATGCTAACCCCACAGTGGTTCGATGTGAAATTCACCATGGGCAGACTGGAGGAATATATGTCCATGAAAAAGGAAGAGGACAATTTATAGAGAATAAAATCTATGCAAACAACTTTGCAGGTGTATGGATTACCTCAAATAGTGACCCAACAATAAGGTATTTACCTATAATTATGGATAGAAATTACATTTAGCTTCAGGGTTTGTCATATAAGAAAAGTTAAGATACTGAGCTTTGACTCTTAAAGTCTTTGCATCCAATTGAGAATAGTTATTTATCATTTGGTTTTCTGTCTTCTGTTTACTTTTATTAGTGACTTATGCCATACACAAAATTATTCTATAAACAATTGCAAATGCTGTAATTTTTATTTAAAATTCATCAAACCGTATTATTGATGACTAAGTAGAGCTGAGACCTTCTCTTGGAATCTAAATTACTTTGTCTTCTCTTTCTCTAAAAGTCAAAAGAGTAATTTAAGAAACTAATTATCTGAAAGATTCTTGGACAGAGAAACTACGAATATCAAAAAGTCAAAACTGTAGACTGCTACTTTCCCTTATAGTTCGTACCCCCTCTAGTCACAATAAGAAGCGAAATAAATCTAGTCTTAAAAGCCATTGTCCAAGACTGGGTAAAACAGAGAGCATGGATTATTTTTTAATTATCAAATTTTCTTTTCCACTTGCTGTAGGAAAATGGATGTTGTGTCCTCTTACACAAATGTTTGTAGATCAGCTAAAAGAAATTGAATTTTTTGAGGGGAATTTTTAAGAATGCTATTTGGTGTCAGGGGCTGTAGCTTAGTGTTATCTAACAGCACTTGCCTATGCCTAGCATGTGCAATGTCCTGGGTTTGATCCCTAGCACTGCAAAAAAAATGGAAATGAATGCTATTTTTGTCTCAAATAATAGGTGACATTTCCCAAGTCTTAGGATTAGAAAGAACTAAAAGAATTCAGAAATCATCTAGTAAGTGTGTCTCAACTTTACAAGTAAACATAGTCCATAGAAGTTAAATAATTTATCACATAACTATAAGTAGTCTTAATAGTTGCATAAAACAAGCTTTGTTAAAATAGGTACTATGATTGTTTACATAATTATAGGGGAAATTCTATATTTAATGGAAATCAAGGAGGAGTTTACATCTTTGGTGATGGACGAGGCCTTATTGAAGGAAATGACATTTATGGTAAGCATATGGTTTTGTTTTAGAAAACTTATAGAATAGCCTGTCTTCTTGATATTAGCAAAATAGACTATTTTGAAATCATCTGAGTGGAGAACTGATCTAGTTTCTTTAAATTCCCGGTAAAGATTATTCTGCAGTACTTATTTAACAAATATTCTCTGGGTATCTACTATATACTATACACTATGCAGATAGCTGGGTGAAATATAAATAAGACCCTAGTCTCAAGAATTATCTACGGTTTCCTTGGATTCACTCCATTACTTAACAATAAATTAATTCTGTGGTAGTTTAATACACTTTCAACTATGTAGAGAAGGAAAATGTTTCTCATTATAGCTTTAGAAGCTTCATTCATGTTTCTAGGCTTTCTGTTCTGGTAACTTACCTGGATAATATATAATGCTTATTTAAATGCCAGCCACTGTTTTGAGGACCTTACCTGAATCAAATCAACAATATTCACATCAACCCTATGAGGTAGATATTATTAAATATCCCCACTTACCGATCAGGACACAGATGCACAAAGAAGTTAAATAATTTTCCTAATGTCACATAGAATCTCAGGAATTGTATTACTTCCTATGCTTGACAGCCTGGTTCTAGTAACCACTGTACTATACTGTCTGCAATCCTTATTTGTGTTTACACTATAGTTCCCTTAGTTTTTCTTCTAATGCCCACTAAAATTCTAATGTAAGAATTTTTGGCCAGGTGCAGTGGCACATGCCTGTAATCCCAGCGATTTTGGGAGGCTGAGGCAGGAGGATCACAAATTCTCAGCAATTTAACAAGGCCTTAACAACTTAGTGAGACCCTGTCTCCGTAAAAAATAAAAAGGACTGGGAATGTAGCTCAGTGATTAAATGTTCCTGGATTCAATTCCTGGTACCAAAAAGAAGAAGAAAAAAAAGCATTTGCTACTACCTTTTGTAAAACACCTAACTGTATCCCACTAGGCTCTTGAATATTGACATTGTAACCTTTATTTTTAAATAGGCAATGCATTAGCAGGAATTCAGATTAGGACAAACAGTTGTCCAATTGTTCGACATAATAAAATTCACGATGGCCAACATGGTGGAATTTATGTGGTAAGTTAACAAATAGTTACATAAACTCGTGCACAAAAATCATGGGACAAAAAAAGAGGGAGGTGAAGGCTACATGTTGCTATTCAATATTTGGAGTATGAATTTTGTAACTCTTTAGTATTTAGGCAGGATATAAAACTGTCAGTATATGAATGACTTCTTATTTTATACTATATGTAGAGTTCTATAAAATTTAATCAGCTAAATTTGGGCTTTTTGTTTTTTTAGTGTTAATTATTGGCAGTGTGTACTAAACTCTTCACAACTGATTGGCAGTCTTTGAGATTGGTTACATTGGAATTTTGGTAGTGTTATTGTGTGAGTCTCTGAAATTCTACAAAAGCATTTAAACTTGAATATATTATGAAAAAAACAATTTTTAATTTGAATTTTTTGAAACATAATTGTCTTTCAAAAATTTGAAAGCTGTGTATCAGTTGCATTTCTTCTATCATTATGATTATCTGAAACTGCTAACTAATTCAAGTAATACAGGCAACATCATAAAGGTTTTTGTTAGACCAGGTATGACTTTTAATTTTTATTTATGATTCTAGGCTCATTTCTCAAATTTAGATAATATGAAGACCTTATTTTGAAGTGATTTCACTGGTAGAAGTTTGGAATAACTAAATACTAAAATGAAAGGTCTAGTTGGTTACAAATGTCAGAATGAAATTGAATGTTTCCACTCTTGCTGTGATAGATTTAAAGGTATAAAACCACATAATAATATAAAAATCTTGAAAGCTTAAAACTCAGGTAGAAGCTACATCAAAAGAATGTTTTGAAGATGGAACAGTAGCTTAGTGGTAGAGTGCATTTTTAGTATGCATGAGGCCCTGGGTTCAATTCCCAGCATCAAAAAGGAAAAAAAAAAAAAAAAAAAAAAAGCTATTATCCCACTATAAAAACAAAAATTGAAATTTTATTCCTATCTGTCTTTAAGGAAGGACCGTATTATATACTACTACTTGTTTATATAAGAGATGTATATTGTAACCGGTGTAACTTTTATTTAGCATGAAAAAGGACAAGGTGTAATAGAAGAAAATGAAGTTTATAGTAATACTCTGGCTGGAGTCTGGGTGACAACTGGCAGCACTCCAGTATTGAGAAGAAATCGGATACACAGTGGCAAGCAGGTAGGATGAGCTTAGACTCTTGGGTGAGAAATGTTGATTTGTAACCCTTGTAACTTGAAAAAATATATATTATATTTTTAATTTTAGGTTGGTGTTTATTTTTACGACAATGGACATGGAGTGCTAGAGGACAATGATATCTATAATCATATGTATTCAGGGGTTCAAATAAGGTAAATGTTTTCACATTTGGCTTTCTTTTGAGAGAAAGTTGGGAGTAAGTGGACTATGTAGAAGGAATTTCTTGTTTAGTGTCCCGTCTTTTCCCCTAAGTGTATATCCCTATATTATTTATAATACACACATTCTCTCTTACACACACACACAAACACACACACACACACACACACATTCAATTTGAATTGCCAGAATGTAGTTAGTCTAGGTGATGACAGGAACCAGTGACATATGTAGTAAGAACTTTTCCACTGTTGTGCCATCCATTGTGAATCACATCAGCTACTGTATATTGTGCCCCGAATAGCATGTTGTTGGTACTCAGTATAATGGGAATTGTTTTTATACTATTTATGTAAAATTGTTTTATAGCCAGGAACAGTTGTTTACACCTGTAATTCCAGCTACTCAGGAGGCTTGAGGCTAGTTAAGCAACTTAGCAAGATTGAGGCTCAATATAAAATGAAAGGGGTTAGAGACAGTTTGGTGGTAAAGCATCTCTGGGTTCAATCCCCAATTCCAACAAAATAATAAAGTTTTTTATATCCCTCTTGTATGTTTCTGGAACTCTTAATGTTCACATAATTTGACCCTTCATTTTATCTGAGGGGAGAATACAATAACAAAATTGAAAAAGTCATTTAATATAACCCTCTCAGTGTATTTTACATATTTGAAGGCTCCATAGTGATATAATCTATAGCAAAGTGTTGTAACAGGATAAGCAAATTAAATTAACCATTTTCTTTACTGATAGACTTCTCTGAGGATCTTCAAGAACTCCAGTGCATATTTATTTATTTTGATACCAAGGATTGAAACAACTGGTGCTTAACCACTGAGCCACATCGCCAGCCCTTTCTTAGAAGTTATTAGAAACAGGGTCTCACTGAGTTGCTACAGCATTGAACTTGACATCTCCTGCTTCAGCCTCCTGAACTGCTGGGATTTTAGGCATGCCCCCCCCCCCCCCCGCCCCGGGCTATTCTTACCTGATTAATGTGTGACTTTCTCCAGTGATACCTCGTGTAACATGGCATATGGGAGTAGCAGTAATTGATGATGGTATTTCTATCTTATCCATAGGACTGGAAGCAACCCCAAAATTAGACGTAACAAAATTTGGGGAGGACAGAATGGTGGAATTCTAGTTTATAATTCTGGTATGTTTGACCCATCCATCATCTTTTCGTATTAACAGACTTCAGGTATACCTTCTAAATAATATACCTAAATTTTTGCATTTATAGGTCTGGGCTGTATAGAAGACAATGAAATATTTGACAATGCAATGGCTGGAGTCTGGATTAAGACAGATAGTAACCCTACACTAAGAAGAAATAAAATCCATGATGGAAGAGATGGTGGCATCTGTATATTTAATGGGGGTCGAGGTATTATTCTTAATTTTGCACTAGTGAAAAACCCAGTTTTCCCTTATTCTTCCATATCTGTAATGATAAGTGACATTGCCAACTAATATAATTGAATCCAGCTAATATAATTGAATGATTAAGTCTTTATCCTCATCAGTACCAGATTGAGATGGTTTAGATAGAGCCTAGAGTTAAAGGAGACAAATCTTTACAGTACTTTATTTTGTAGCCACCTTAACTCTGCCAGTTGTCAGGAAGACTTTTTTTAAATAGACAAATTTGATATCAGTCTGAATCTTATTATTCAGAATAGTGAGTGGTATAGTAAAGTTACAGCAATAGGTGTGAGGAAAATTGATATGAAAATGTCTACATAGGTATTGCTTTTATAACTTTTATTTGGAGAATGAAATTAACAAAGCGAAAACATGTCTGATTTGATATCCAGAAAGTTTGGCTCACTTTGCATTGAAGCAGAAGTTCCGCAATGCCTGCCCCTTGCAAATACACGCTCTTCTGGACATTGGAGAATGCTGAATGCAAATCTATTGCTGTTACTGAAATGTCAGTAACTCAAAAATGTACATTATTTTTTATGGAAGAATAGGCAAACATACCAAGACTTAAGTGACCAAAATTTGCTATAGGCAAGCAGTGATGATCCCGTTGACATAAATTCTCATGGACTTTAGAATCCAATAGTTCAATAAAGTGACATATCTTTAATAGGAGTCTTTCTTTACGAGATTACAGTGAGGACACAAAATGCAGAAAGGTTGGTTGGTTGCAAGGTGTTGAGAAAATCTTTGTATAGTAAAATCACTTGAGCTGTCTCAGGAAATTGGGGAGGAGGGAGAGGGCAGAGACAGGGTTGGTCATTCCAGTGTAATTATTGCACTCTTTTTCTGCAAATAATGATTGAACATTTCTGTACCAACCACTGTGATAGAAATGGTGAACACAAAGAGGACAACAGCATCCATAAAAATTAGAGTGGCACATTGTAAACAAAGTCTAAAGGAAACAAATGGTTTAGTTAAATCTAGAGGTACTCAAAGTTGAGACTGAAGAGACAAAGCCCACATCATGAGAGGTTTTCTATGTGAAGTTTGGACTTAGTAATAGTACTTGAGAAGGCCGTAACACAAATATGCAAGATTAGAAGCAGAGAATTAGAATATCCTAGGCAAGAAATAATGAGAACCTGAACTAAACTGATAGGTAGTTTTATAAGTTGAAAGAGCTATAAGAGTGACTGCAAACTGCAACAGATGTCAACAGAATTAAAGGAAACTCACCAGGGGATGAATATAGTAATAAAGAACAGAAGTAAGGTCTTGATAATTAAAATATAAAAACAGCACGGTCTCTAGAAATATTTCAAATTAATTGATTCAGCAGTACTGGAAATCAACTTATATACCAGACACTGGGGATGAAGTAGTGAATAAACTTAGGTATGACCCCTATTGTCAGAACTGAAAGTTCTGACATTACATGTTATTTTAAGCAAATTTTGGTTTAAGTTTTACCTTACATGCCTGAGTTACAAAAAATATTTTGACTGAAAAAAGTTATGTATATATACAGTACTAATAAGAAACTAAAAGAAACCCTAAATACCATCAGAGAGGCTAGTTAAAATGTTGTATGCATTAGCCTTAATCTGAGGAAATATTTTATTATAGGTCTCCTTGAAGAAAATGATATTTTCAGGAATGCTCAAGCAGGTGTTCTCATCAGCACTAATAGTCATCCAGTCTTAAGGAAAAACAGAATATTTGATGGATTTGCTGCAGGTTTGTATTCTCTTTTGTTAACCTGTAGCTTCTTTAGTTATATAGTGGCTTAAATTTTTTGGTATGTTATATTTAATTATCAAATAATATGCAATGTATACACTCAAGTACCTGAATGCTTGTGAATAACTTAGGAATCTAGTCCAAGTTCTGAATTCTTCAACTCTATGCACTCACTGTTGCATAGTAATTATAAAATATTAATTTCATAATAGACTACACGCAGGCTCATACCATTATTAGGAACAAAAATTTAAGGTCTCTCACTTCAAACACGCTTAAAATATATATATATAATATGCATGGAGTAGACCTACAAACTGCCATGAAAGTTTCTTTATTTAAAATAACCATGTAGCTGTTTTCTCTTCAATATGTAAACTACCTCCCTAAACACACTTATGGGCCCTATTCCCTCCTAGCAGTTCAGTTAATTAAAAGTTTGAGAGTGCTCTTTTGGAGGATGTAGCTCAGAGCACTCACCTAGCATGTGCAAGGCCTGAGGTTCAGTTCCCCCTCTACCACACACAAACAAATGCTGGATAGTTAGTTGACTGTCAGCAGTAAAGTGAATGTTACTGTCAGTGATTCAAGTTAAAATGTTTGCATTTTATCCTTTAGACGAAAAAAGTGATTATGTATCCACTTGTTTATAAATTTTACTTTAGGTATTGAAATTACAAATCATGCAACTGCAACATTAGAAGGCAATCAGATTTTTAACAACCGATTTGGAGGCTTATTTTTAGCATCTGGTGTAAATGTGACAATGAAAGGTATGTTGGAGTCTATTATGCCTATGATATGCCATATAAAAATGATCAGAAGCCTTTATTTAACTTTGTCACTCTCCCAATTTAGCAAAAATTTAAAGAGAACTATTTGAAACAAAATAGTTCTTTATTCCTGGGTTGGAATATCTTACACATGGAAAATCCATTTATAAGCAGATTTCTAATTACATCATGGCTAGCTTTGTTTAAAATCTTCTTAATCCTCTAGATTTTTTACTCCTTTTTTTCTTTTATTACAGATAACAAAATCATGAACAATCAAGACGCCATAGAAAAGGCTGTTAGTAGAGGCCAGTGTTTATATAAAATATCAAGTTATACCAGCTATCCCATGCATGATTTCTACAGGTATATTTCTAAGTTATTTGTGAATTAGAAAAAGGGAAGATACCGATTTCCTTTTCAAAATTGGCAGTGCCTAGCATTTTTGGCTACTTGCCAATGGAAAGAGGGTATAACTTAAAAAAGCTTTTGTTGTCCACATTGAATTCTAGACTATATTATAACAGGAAAAATGCAGTATTATAGGAACTGATGTCTTTAAAATGTGCATGAAGTGATAGATCCCAGTAACAAGTTGATGTACCTTTTCCCAAAATTGATTCAGCCCAGAAAGACTTGTTTTAGAATCAGCTATCCCACTGAAGTTTAAAAAAAAAAATAAAACTTTAATCTGACCAATAGCCATAAAATCTTGATTTGGCCCTCATAGAATCAATCCAAAGATGAATGGTGACACCCCACCCCCCACATGCAATGTTTTGTATTAATGCCATGTTCAAGAAGAATAATGTAAGGTTTTGCTTTTTAGATGTCACACTTGTAACACCACAGATCGAAATGCCATATGTGTGAACTGCATTAAGAAGTGCCATCAGGGACATGATGTAGAGTTTATTAGACATGATAGGTACGTAGCACACTTATTGCTGTTACCCAATTATTTTACCCTCACTTTCCTAATTTTTGGGTTTTCATTTTGCTTTAGGTTTTTCTGTGACTGTGGTGCTGGAACACTGTCTAATCCTTGTACATTAGCTGGTGAGCCTACACATGATACAGATACATTATATGACTCTGCTCCACCTATAGAATCTAATACATTGCAGCACAACTGAATTCCTTCCCTAAAGAAAAAGTCCTGCCATTCTAACACCATAACTTAAAAACTTTTTTTGTTTTGTTTTGGAAGAAGATTTAAAATATTTGCCCATGCTACAGGAAGAGACTGTATTAAAAATGGATACACAAGGTCAGTTGACACTATGAAGCTCAAGCTACCAAAAAGAAAGTGGCAATATATTGACTCAGGATCTCAAAGCTGGGTGTTTTAGCATTACTGTGTAAAAGACTTTTGAAGGGACAGAAGTGAAGAAAATAAGCTGCAATTTTGTACAGATACCAACTTCTGAAAAGCTGGTGTTTTTACAACTAGCATTGAATGCAGTCCAATTTGCAGTAGTAATCTTCAATAGACAAGCAGCTTTGTTGCTGCCTTTATGGACATGGGTACCAATTGCTTTTGTAATATGGTAAAAATGTGAGCTAGCACTTCTGCGTTTCTTTTGATTTTTTTTAACATGTATTCAGATTGAGAAATATGATTTTAATGCTTTAATCTCATGTAGTTTGTTTTTAATTTCAAGCAAAATCTTATTGTACTTGAATGTGCCCTGTTTTGTTAGCACACCTAGACTTGCTGTAAACTGTACTCATGTCCCAGTATGTACGTTCTTTCTATGAAAGAGAAAACACTAATCTTAAATTATATCCAGCAATGTTTCTGGTATCCTTTAAGAAAAGTTAAGACTATTATTTCCTTCCCTTCCCTGTGCAGCATTCAAAATCACCCCTAGAAAAAGTGAGTGTTTTATTGAGACTTCCTAGGAAGGGATGCACTGTAAAACAAAAAGTATTCTTGTAACTCAGTTTTGTGAAAGGTAAAAACTACTATGTTTTAAAGTACACTTTAGAAAGTCTCTTCAAAACAGTCCTGTATTTGAACTCTGTTCATAGTTTTTTTTTGAACAGTTTAGACAAAA